CAGCATGTGCGTTTGAGTGAAAGTAACAAGCGACATTTCAGTGAGTGAATCGTTGGGAAAAAAATGCTTGAAACTGGGAAGACTAAATTTTAGAGAAATGAACAGCGAAATAGGAGGGCAAGGAAGGGCCCTTTTTATACTGGTAAATAAAAGAGTCTGTTCTTGCTGGGACATTGATTTCTCTCTCGATGGGCACAGGGGGAGAAAAGAAAAACACAAACACGCATGGACAGGTAACTATTGTTCCATCATAGTCCCATTCTCCACTCTCCTCTCCTCTCTTCTCCCCATATTCACCATCCCTTCTTTCTTCCCTCCCTCTCCTCTCACTGTCCTTCTATCTCCCTTGCCTCTCCTCTCCATCTCCCCTCCCTCTCCTCCCACCTTCCCTCCCTTCTCTCGTCCCTCCCTCCCCTCTCCCCGTCCTCCTCTCTTCCTACTGCCCCTACCCCCCCCTCCACCCGGCATAAACTCCCCCAGCCATCGCTCGAAGTTGTGCTGTTATCTCATGCATACACGGGACAATTAGTGGATTAATTACATCGCTAATGAGCAAATTATTACCCTCCGCTTGATGTAGGGATATAATGGACATTAACTCTGCCGGAGTGATTTATCAATATTGCAACAATCACTTACGTTGGAGTCGCCCTTTTGCAAGCTGGTCATTGCTATTTTTTTAGGGGGGGTGGGGGGGCATGGGATCACAATTGCCAAGGTAATGATTAATGACGATCGCTGGAATAAACTGCATAATTAGTGTGACACTGCTAAATGGCATGGTATGAGATCGTATGTTAGCCATGAAATCTCATCGTGTTAATGCCCAATGAGGAGTAAATACCAACGACCTCATTAAAAAGGAGAGTTGGTTTTAACAGCTTTGCGTTAATGAACGACGTGACTTACAGTAACGACCGAAATGGACACTTCAAACCAAACATAATCGTTGGGTTTTTAAAAGCTCACAAGTTATCGGAAGGTAGTTGATTCACGTGCTCTGTGTGTGCCCAAGACCGGGTCAATAGAGAGGGTTGGCGTCAGGAAGGGCATCTGGCCTTATAAAGAAAAAAAATATTATCTGCCAGAACCAGATTATATAGCGACCGCCATATAAGAATGTGTCAAAAGTTGCAGCAAAAGAAGGAGAAGAAGGAGAGGGAGAAGACCTGTAAGTTCCTTTTTAAGTCTCCTGACGACGCCCTTCTCTCTTCTTCCTGAAGGTGGTGCGTGAGGTGCGAGAGCGGAGGAGGACCGGCAAGGCCCTCCAGCACGGCGACGGCGTCCCTTGTCCGCATCTCCTGGAGCGACACACCCTTCCTGACCCCAGTCTGCAACCCTGCGACACCAGGTACAGATGTGTGTGTGGGAAATGGGGAGAGGGGGATGTGTGTGTGTGTGTGTGTGTGTGTGTGTGTGTGTGTGTGTGTGTGTGTGTGTGTGTGTGTGTGTGTGTGTGTGTGTGTAGGAGGTGGGGGAGGGGATGGGTGTTTTGGGGGATGTGAGTGCGTGTGGGTGAGGGTAAGGGTGTGTGTGTGTGTAGGAGGTGGGGGGAGGAGATGGGTGTTTTGGGGGATGTGAGTGCGTGTGTACCTGTGTTTATATGTGTGTGCGTGTGTGGTAGAAAAACCCACATTGCAAAAACGATATATATATAAATCTGTGTCAGATATATCACCTATCTCCACCCCTTACCCTCTTTTCCCCTTATCCCCAATTCCCTATCCTCCTTTTCCTCGTCTTCTCCCCTCTCCTCCCATTCCTCCTCTCTCTCCCCTACCACCTCCCCTCCCCCACCACCTCCCCTCCCCCACCACCTCCCCTCCCCCACCACCTCCCCTCCCCCACCACCTCCCCTCCCCCACCACCTCCCCTCCCCCACCACCTCCCCTCCCCCACCACCTCCCCTCCCCCACCACCTCCCCTCCCCCACCACCTCCCCTCCCCCACCACCTCCCCTCCCCCACCACCTCCCCTCCCCCACCACCTCCCCTCCCCCACCACCTCCCCTCCCCCACCACCTCCCCTCCCCCACCACCTCCCCTCCCCCACCACCTCCCCTCCCCCACCACCTCCCCTCCCCCACCACCTCCCCTCCCCCACCACCTCCCCTCCCCCACCACCTCCCCTCCCCCACCACCTCCCCTCCCCCACCACCTCCCCTCCCCCACCACCTCCCCTCCCCCACCACCTCCCCTCCCCCACCACCTCCCCTCCCCCACCACCTCCCCTCCCCCACCACCTCCCCTCCCCCACCACCTCCCCTCCCCCACCACCTCCCCTCCCCCACCACCTCCCCTCCCCCACCACCTCCCCTCCCCCACCACCTCCCCTCCCCCACCACCTCCCCTCCCCCACCACCTCCCCTCCCCCACCACCTCCCCTCCCCCACCACCTCCCCTCCCCCACCACCTCCCCTCCCCCCCCTCCCTTCCCCTTCCCTCCTCCCATTCCTCCCCTCCTCCCATCCCTCCTCCTCCTCCTCCTCCTCCTCCTCCTC